CTCAGTGACAAGAGCCAGACTGGAACCTACTTTGACTTTTCCAAGAAATCATAAATTAATGCAAAGAAAGGTAATAAGCGATCAAATACTCATGCTAGACACAATAGATAGCAAAGATTCGGTGTATCGATTTTGTTTCTAAGATTTGTGTCTACAGCAGTCTTCTATGCCAGCAGAGGGAAGTGCCCAACAAAGTACGAGTCATTATTCTTCTGAGACAAGCGATATTGACAACAGTATCGTAAATTTGCATGAAGTTTCCACAGTCGACAGCTTTCACTTTCACAGTGCGACGACATTAACCAAGGCCACCCAAACAAATTTTGAATCAAATTTACAAATCACATTTTTGACACCGAATAATCGATGAATTAGTGACTTTGGGTTTTAAACTGTTTCCTCTTCACTCCTGATCACACACACACTCGTATAAAGTAAAATATATGCTTTTAAAAGGAACTTGATACTGAAAGTTTGTACAGATTCTATTTTTTAAATACTCAATCGTGATTGGCTAATTTGTATGAAAACTTGTCTGGGTTGGTRTAGTCGCACTGTAATATGTATTCTAGTGGATCGATTGAGGTGTTTTGGGCGAATAGTTGACGTCTTTACTGTTGGTTTTTATGCCCTGTGGTGAATCAATTTTATGGATTTTATACACAGGGCCTAAGAACCGACAGATAAGAAAATGATAATAATAAATAAGAACAAAAACCTACAGTTTAGACGTCAACTAAGGTTATAGGAGGTTATAGTGAATTTTATCATTATTTTTTATGTAAAATACGATCATTCTCTAGAACGATGCTTGGGCTGCCTGTGGAAGAATATGCTGAATTTCTCGCTTGATGTAGAACTTGCCTGGATTATGATTATGGTTATGATTCATAAAGCCTTGTTCACACTACCGTCGTAATCGTAATCGTAATCGTAATCGTAATCGTAATCGTAATCGCAACCGTAAGCAGCGTTAAAACCCAGTGGGAATCAAAAATCGTAGTCTTAAGAGCCGTCGTAAGGTGCATCGTAACAGCGTTTAAGCGTAAGCTAAGATCAGAAGGTTTTGTTTCCTTACGACAACGATTACGATTACGCTCACTTTACGATCGAGTGTGGACCAAGAAAACGTGATCGTAAGGATTGACCAATCACTACGCTCGTTGCCATGATGAAAATTTCGAAGCTGGCTGGAAAATAACAAGGAATCGAGGCTTACGATTCGGCTTGCGTCGCGTTCGTTCACACTAGATCGTAAGCTTCTTAAGATTACGATTGCGACTACGATTACGATTACGATGCTTACGACGCTAGTGTGAACGAGGCTTAATTTATATAGCGCCCTTTCTATATGGATATAAATCAAAGGCACTTTACATTGAGTTGTGAATGACAGATTGCTTTTATGCAATTTACGAGCATGAGAGATGTTTAGTATGAAGTGTAGGCACTGAGGGTGGTCACTGCCAGGGTTTCTTTNTTGACGTCTTTACTGTTGGTTTTTATGCCCTGTGGTGAATCAATTTTATGGATTTTATACACAGGGCCTAAGAACCGACAGATAAGAAAATGATAGTAATAAATAAGAACAAAAACCTACAGATAAAGACGTCAACTAAGGTTATAGGAGGTTATAGTGAATTTTTATCATAGTAATTTTTTATGTAAAATACGATCATTCTCTAGAACGATGCTTGGGCTGCCTGTGGAAGAATATGCTCAATTTCTCGCTAGAACTTTCCTGTATGAATATTATGATTATGATTATGATTCATAAAGCCTTGTACACACTACCGTCGTAATCGTAATCGTAATCGTAATCGCAATCGTAAGCAGCGTTAAAACCCAGTGGGAATCAAAAATCGTAGTCTTAAGAGCCGTCGTAAGGTGCATCATAACAGCGTCGTAATCGTAAGCTAAGATCAGAAGGTTTTGTTTCCTTACGACTACGATTACGATTACGCTCACCTTACGATCGAGTGTGGACCAAGAAAACGTAATCGTAATCGTAAGGATTGACCAATCACTACACTCGTTGCCATGATGAAAACTTTGAAGCTGGCAGGAAAATAACAAGGAAGCGAGGCTTACGATTCGGCTTGCGTCGCGTTCGTTTACACTAGATCGTAAGCTTCTTAAGATTACGATTGCGACTACGATTACGATTACGATGCTTACGACGCTAGTGTGAACAAGGCTTGATTTATATAGCGCYCTTTCTATATGGATATAATCAAAGGCGCTTTACATTGAGTTGTGAATGACAGATTGCTTTTATGCAATTTACAAGCATGAGAGATGGTTAGTATGAAGTGTAGGTACTGAGGGTGGTCACTGCCAGGGTTTCTTCACGTCCTCAGTGGTTCTTTTACGTCCCTCCGATATTGGTTAGTAATGGTGAGTGTGGAGATACGGGACCGCCATTTAAAGTGGTCGGCATCCGAGCCACTTGAAAGTCTAACAATTTGCAGATGTAAGTACAAAGGCAACACTTTCTCCTCAGTTATCTTAAGACCCTGAGTGTTGGTCCGGTCGGGACTCGAACCATGACCTCCCGCATGAAAGTCCGATGCTCAACCAACTGAGCTAACCGGGTTTGGGCTGTATCATGCACAAAGGCCTAGTACAGCTGGGGAAGTTTGCAACGTCAGCCAAAAGATAATAGAATGTTTCACAGAAAAGAATGATTTCGTTAGACGATCGTCTCCCTTAAGGTGTTCTCTAGATAATATTAAAATAATTGCAGGTTCTGCCCTATTTTAGGCTATAAAATAAACAGTTTTGCGTTTTTCACAGTACTCGGAATTTGAACTTGCGCCATGACGCAACAAGATCAAATATCTCAATGTTCTCAGTCAGAATCACTAATTAATTTTCTTATCTTTTTACCATACTTTGTCATTATATTATTTACTGGGGTGGCTGTTATTTTCCTTGTCATAAAATGCAGAAATTGTGCAATAGTATCCAGAAGTCTTCACGGCACCACCCGCTAGTCCTTTGCAGGAATATGATAAAGAGATCTAAGCGCAGTAAATGTTCGTGTTAGCTAACTTTGTCACAAGTTAGGAAAGCATAGCGGATCGATATTGTTTAAATGACTGATAACGTCTGATCGCACTTATACAGGCTTATAAGCAATCGACTAGGAATAAATATATTTTTACTATAAAAAGATTGCCTTATTGTTGAAGATTTAAATCTAATAAAAAATGAATTAAAAAAAGAAAAATCTGATGTGGAATAGATGGGATTCGAACCCACCAAAAGAAATTCAAAAAATACGATTCCACTGTGCCATACCCCCGAGACATCCGCAGAGCTGAGGCG